GTTCTAGTAATCTGGCCTGATACCCCATTAACGATGTCCTGACAAAGCTATCACGAATCACGACTCTCGGTGAAATTGCCAAGAGCCTTGATTTGCTGTTCACAGGCTCCAGCAACTGAATGCGTTGTGTGAAGTTGGTGTCACGCTGCTGCCACCTGGTGAACCCCCACGCCTCCCTCCCTCGGCAGGTCCGCTCGCTGGCGTACAACCAGCGTGACCAGTCTCTGGTGGCGCTCTCGCTGAACGCCTACGTGCACCTGTTCGACGCCGGCGCCTTCAAGCAGAAGCTGTCCAGGAAGCTGCCCCACTCGATGGATAACGTGTGCTTGGCGCTGGGCGACAACTGCAAAATGTACGCTGTCGGCTCCAAGTCGCACACCACCATCCTCGACTCCAAGTCGCTCAAAGTGCTCAAAAAGATCACCGCTAAATACCACGGCTGCGGTAAGTGGAGAGCTTTGACTGGAATGTGAAGCGGGTTAGTCAGTGTTAGATGCAGGGAACATTTAGTTGCTCTTAGTCAGACTGTGCTACACTGGGGGTGTTTTGATGGGTTATTTGAGTGAAGTGCCAGATTATTTTTATCGTGTACTCCCATCATAATATGTGGACTTGCTTCCATTTTGCAATGGGTATTGTGTGAAACTGTGAACGGTCTAAGTTGGCTTCCCGCCCATGACTTCTCCCTCAACAGATTTTAGTCAATAAGGATGCCGAATATATTAGCGTTTTGCGCCCTTCGAATCCCATACGCGTCATTACCCATGGGCCATGACCCGCCCCGTCCGCCGGCCGACAGGGATCCGGTCCCTGTCCTTTAACGGCGACATCCTGACGATCGGCACGGGCACGGCCGTGCTCATGTTCTACGACCTGCGAGCCCAGAAGTACCTGGACTCGGGGGTCAGCTCGGGCCGCGCGGTCGTCCTCAAAGCAGCGTCAGGATGGGCGGTGAGTAGACGCAATGGGCTGACGGGAGGTGGGGTTCTCGCGGGGCGGTGTATGCCATATAAAGGTTTTGTGGGGTATGAGGTAGGGGCATTTCCTAGTTAGTGTTTGAGAGTGTTGAGTCGTTCCTGTGTCTAAAAATGTGCGGTGGGCCCAACTGAAATTGTTGTGAACCTGAACTAATATTGAAAGTGGAGATGTTTTGAAGCCCCGTGTAAATTTGCCTTTCAACGACACACGCCACGCAAGGTGCATGCAAGAATAAGATCGACTGGCCTTGGGGCAAACAGAATGACAAAACCTGTCGGAGGCTGACCTCGGGCGGCCGGTCGAATATCGACCCTCGGTGCTGGCGTGCACGGCTGTGGGGCGTGCCCGCGGGCGCCGCCAGCCTCTCACGTGAGTGGCGGGCCGGCCGACGGTCACCTGTGTGTTTCTCTGTTACTCGGGGCGGTGTCGGCGGGTTTTGTCGGTGCGATTATTAACTATGCAGCCCGGCCGATCACCGCACCGGCGTGAATTGTGCCCGACCACGCCGCCGCCCGCTGTTGTCCGCTCCTTTGTGGACTCACGGATGGGAACGGGTCTCGCTCGCAGTTCTGGCAGGACAAAGGCACCGCGTATCGATTGCGGATTTGTTGTGCGCGCCCGTTCCTAGGCGGTTGACGTAGTGGTGCTGAGCGATTACCCAGCGGGTGTGTGCCTGTATGGGCTTTCATTGTTCGTGCATGGTATATGAAGCCCACTGACGCGGGACCCACGAGCCTGCTTCAATGGCTCTTGGCCATTGAGCTGTTGACAGGTATAACCCTGTGTTGGCGCTGTCGGCCATTTCTGTGACACCGATACATTATGCTACCCAGGAAATGGGTGTTGGACGAAAATAATGATAATCGATGCCGCCAGGCAACGTGGTAACGCGTAGCTATTTTACGTAACGTCTTGTATCGTGCCGATGGAAATTTCCAATTACTGTCGCTATCATGCCGTCCTTGCCAGCTGACTATTTGAGGTGGACTTCGTCCTAACACTGATCCCACTGTCTGTCCACAGTCGTCGCCGCGCGCTGACGAGCCGGCGTTCCACGACGCGGCGGCGGGCGGCGCGCACCAGGTCGACCACATGCCGGCCATCTACACCCACTGTTACGACGCGTCCGGCACGCGACTGTTCACCGCCGGCGGCCCGCTGAGCGTGGACGTGCGCGGCTGCTACGCCGGACTGTGGATGTAGCCGCGTCGCCGCCGGGACTTGGTGCTGGGTGGAGTGGGTGGGTGCGTCCGGGTGATATGGTGATGCAGTTGCAGAAGGAGTCGGCTGGTGCAGCGGACACTGTGGTATGTGGTATGTGTTACCACGGACCGACGCGGCGCCGGGCCAGCGCTGCAGTGGAGCTCGCCCCCCAGTCTCTGGCGATGACTGACGCCGGTGGGGCTGTGATCCGGCTACCGTCACTGCTACTCCGCTGCTGATGGAGCCACTGAGGCAGGGCCGGTCGGCCCGACAGCCCGACGGACGCTCAACTGACTCCAGTGCCTGAGAACGGTCGGACGGGACTCGAGAGCGACCGGGAGCGCGCGCCCACTGACGCGTGCATCAGTTACCTCATCGGTGCGTTGGTGCCGCGGCCTCCCACCGAGCTCGTGCTGAGCTCACTGACCCGGCCCCCAGCGAGAGGCGATCTCATCGAAACCCAGACGGAGGTGCTGTCCTCCTGATTGTGCCGCGTACAAATGGTCGGCCTGGGTGGGTGGATGGGGCTGTTTGTGCTGTTTTAAGCGCATTCTAGCCGACAATTTTAGCTGGTTTTATCTCGACCTGTTTTAGCGAAAAGTAGCCTGTTTTGTCACGTTTGATCCAATTTGTCACCGGACACTAATTTTTTTAATATTCACCTTTATCTATCATGTAGCATATTTTCTATGCTATCTAGTTACATGTATCGTGTTCATTTCTACTCGTTTTAAATTAGCAATTCATGGGCGCTGTTGCCGTTACCGGTGAACTTACGAAGTTACGATGTCTCATCAACCGAAGCGAGCTTTGAAGAAGGCCGGTGCCTGGTAGCGAACTTTTGGAATAAGACCCAGGCTTGATCTAATGGTAGGTATCGTATTTATTTTTCGTCGCGAACCTCGTTTTCGCATCATATTGCGTCGCGAGCTTGCTCGATGGAGCTGCAGAAGCCCGTCTGTGCGATGTATCCGCTGGTCATATCGAGAAGTGTGCTTTGTGCCCGTTCATGTGCTCTGCCCGTTCATTGCCACCAAGAGTCGCGCGTGATGACCCGACCTTTCCGACTGGGGTGACCAAGGTGCGACGATTGATAACCTTAGTACGTTCCTTCGTTTATCCCCGAGTGGGCAGTGGCTGGTGCCTGTGTAAGGTCGGAGAGATCGCTGGGCGGTGGGTGCGTCTTTCAATGCAGCTCGGGGTGGCGGGGCTTCATAGTCGCAGATGGACGTGTGTGTGCGTGGAATATGTGTGGACTAGGATTGTACCTGTGTTAGAAACTTGGTGCCTGATGCTTGACGTTTTGTACGTGTAAGTTTGCGCTTTTGAGCGTTTTCTGGCAGATTTCGTTTTGGGATATCTGAATTCCAGCCAGGTCGAACACCATAGTTCTGCACCATAGTTTGTTTTAAAGCATTCAGTCGCCTAATGACTTCAGTTCCGAGACATCTCCGAGACATGTGCACAGATGACGTCATTTTACGTGATGCCTCGTGGTATGTGGCTGAAGTGGTGAGCTGACACATCCGAGACAAAATTGGCTCATACTTAGCTCAGGCCAGACACAGCCCGAGACAGACGTCCTATATAGCTAGTGATTGGAATTCGTCCGGTCGTTTGACAGCGACTGCAGGCTGAACCTCAGCTCGGATACGCCGAATTTTAATCACCTCTGTTTTTTAATGCCGTTATGTCAAATTGTGGGTGAACAGTATCGGTTTGCTCGGATCGGTTGTCAACATCCGATTTTTTATTGTTACAAATGACTGGAGCATATGATCATGCTCCATCAATACACTACACATGTTTGTGGCAAAATACTTGGATTTTTCTTGGTTTGATGCTTGGTACAGTGGCAGAACCGCGTTAAGTCCCGCCAGAGTCCGTACTCGGCTCCGGCCTTTTTGCGTGGCCGAGGATAGCTTCGCATCACATAATGTTGACGAAGAGCCTAAATTAGGCCGATAAACCGTCTGAGCTTTCTGTGTTTACGCGGAGCCGCGTGCTCGCAGCTTTCCGTGCCCCTTGGTCGGTAAGAAGCGACGCAGAGTGCTGCGGCACAGTATAACTTCAGGGGCTTGAAACACCGACATCTAGTGCCCCAGTGAAAGAGCTAAGAGCTATGCGGCACAGTATCCGTTCAGGCGTCTGACGCTACCGCCATCTAGGAACTTTAACGGAACTAACTTCAATGTAGTACGGTTTTGCGCTGACACTGTTCTAAATTGGTTGCTATAGGTAGTATTTTGTTTATCAAAATAATGCATTTGGTAAAACTATCGCTAGGTTGATGAATTGGTTATCTGTTGGACTCAGACGGTTCCAAACTTCCACTTACGGGATTTCTAAAGGCATGTCGGGTCTCTTCCTTACGCCACACTGGCTGGGCCCTTCAGCCGTGAACTTAGCGTGACAGCATCATTTTCGCCGGCCGGCACGGTCAGGGCCACTTCTGACACGGAGCGGGCGTCTTTGGCCGTGGCGAGCCGCTCTGTTTGTGTTGTATGCCTCACCTGGGTGATTGTATCGACCGTCTCGGCGGCCGCCGACCGCCGCCGCCGCCGGCCGTCAGTGTGGGGCGTCCGGCCGCCAGGCACCGACTGATTGGCGAGCCGTCCCGTCCGGGGACACGACAGACGCCCTGTCACCAGCCGCGGACCACCCAGTGGAGACAGAGGGACTCGTGACACGGCGCAACGAGAAAAGAGCTTTTATAGTGATAACGCTGACTTGGGAGTGGGACGCTGTGGTGCGAAATTTAACCGTGTGGAGGCATCACATACTGAACAAAGGTGTAAAAGTAAGTTTACTAGCTGATTTAAGGGCTTGAGGATCAGTTTTGTTCCGTTGTTGATTTCACCTGGAGCTGTGGTGGCGCTGTGTCCGGAGGCAGCGGCGCCTCTCGCTGGACCGGCTCAAGACCAGCCGCCATGCCGGCGGCTGCCGCCGTCCCCAGTGCCCCCGCCGAGTCGCCGGCTCGTCCCCCGGCCTACGTCGACTGTTACGTGTGCGGCCGTCAGTTCGGCTCGCGCTCTGTGGCCCTGCACGTGACGCGCTGCCTGGAGCGCTGGCGGGCCGCTAATGCCACGCTGCCGGCGTCGGAGCGCTCAGCCGAGCCGCAGCCGCCGCCGGCCGCCGAGCCGTCTCTCAACTCGTCCTGGCCGCGCAGCAACGGCCGGCTGCGCGCTGCGCTCGAGGAGCAGCAGAGCCCGCGCGTCTCGCGGCCGCGCACTGCCACCCTGAAAAAGCCGCGAGTGCTCGACGCCGAGAAGAAGGCCGAGCTGGACATGTCGACCACGCGCTGCAACGAACTGCTCCAGCTGGCGGCGGAGAACCGCGCGCGCCGGGAGCGGCCCGAGCGCGCCGCCTCCGAGGAGCGCGCCGGCCGGCCGCAAACCATCAAACTCAGCCAGCCCTCCTCGCGCGACCTCAACGTGCCCAACATCGACTACCGCTCGGCGGCCGTCATATCACCCGATGGCCGCGCCAAGGCGACCAAGGCTACCTCCAAGCTCGGCAGGCGGCTACCCAACTTCACGCGCGCCCTCGAGGAGCTGTTTCACGCGCCGCGCGCCAAGGCCGGCGTGCCGCGGCCGTGCATGTCGTGCGGCAAGCCGGAGAATCCGGAGCGGTTTCACAGCCATCCGGCCGAGCCGTCCGCCGAGCCGCCGCGCCGCGCCAAGCGGCCCTCCAAGAAGCGGATGTCGATCCAGCGTCCGGTGGCGATCCGGTACCGGGCGGCCGGCGGCGGCGGCGGCGCGCCGCAGCCGCCCATCGTCGACCCGGTGGCGCAGCGCAAACAGCAGCTGGAAGAGGAGCAGCGGCTCAAACAGCAGCGACTCAGGGAGGAGTACCTCAAGAAGGAGGAGAAGAGCAAGAAGGCGCGCGAGGACGCCATGCGCAAGAAGCTGGCGTTCACGATGGCGAAGCAGCAGCGCGTGACAAACGGGGCGGCGGCGCCGCCGCGGCCGGAGCCGTGCTACGTGTGCGGGAAGCCGTTCGGTGCCAACTCACTGCTTATTCACCAGCCTCAGTGCCTGGAGGTGAGTGGCCCCCACTGCACAGTCAGTTCCTGCAGTCAGCAACAGTCGCCGACCAGGTGAGGGCGACGCCCATCTTTTTCATAAAGGTTTTCCCATATTTTCGAGGAAAACGAGCGTGTGTTCAATTACGAGATGCATTGACTGAAAGCCGATTTTAACCCACGCACCGACGGGGGTCTGCGCCAACTAAGAACCGACGGGGGGCGGATGACCGCCCCCCCCCCCTGAGATCTTGAGAACGAAGCAATATAGCGACAAGCGGTAGGTAAACGGCATGGGGTACGCACGGGCAAGGTCCACGATTTTTACAAAGGTCATTTTCAGGTCAGGCAAAGATGACGTCACAGGGGTCAAAAAAGTCCAAATGAGTTCTGGGTTCATTGGTGCCTATTCCTGAGCCCGACTCACTAGCTAAATTTGGTCGGTAGCTTGACGAAAACTCGGAGGGCGTCTCATGCAGCCTTATTGAAATTAAGTACGGTAATAATGTATGATGTCACCATTAGCGTCGTCACGGGGGGGCAAGCGGGGCAGCTTGCCGCCCCCCCCCCCCCAACCTCGGACCGGGCACCCCCTGAGATCAATACAGATCCGATGAGATTTAGGAGTCGGGAAAAAATGGGGGTACTATTTCTGATAATGCCTGTGAGGTCATACTCGGTTGGAGCGTGCAGTTCAAACTAGAGTCGGAGTCGCAGTCGCCAAAATCTTCAAAACTCCGACTCCAGACTCGGAAATGTCAATGCTGTGATTCATTCCCTGTTCCTAGTTGGTTCTTTATTACATTTTATAGCTGATTTTCATAAGTTTTGGAGTGCTGACGCATAATTTTCGTTCAAAGCGTGACACGAAATCTTCGGGATCTTTCTCAACTCTCGTCAAATGTCTGCGACAAGCTCAAGTATTGTTCAAGTGCCGCAGGGCTCATGAGCTTGCTTTTCACACAGGCTCCATAAGGAGCTCTACTGAGCTCTAAGAAGCTTTCAGAGGGTCCAAACCGGCCTCTGTGAGTCCCACTGGTCAGTAGCGGCGAACACCTTCAATTAAGGGGGGGGGGGGGCACTGCCGAGTGCCGACTTTTGGTCCCATTCTTTCCATGCAACGCCCATTGGGCTAATATTAAAATGCCTAAATCAAAGAGGATACGGTGTCCCGGTACCCTCCCCGTTCCGCCGCCTATGCCACTGGTGTCCATGTTCTCTGAAAGGGCCCATACAGGGATCTTTGAGGATCTTATACATACGTAGACCTCTGAAGGGCCACACGGGTCTTGTATGTATGCACATGTATGTATGTAGGTATTGACATCAAAAGCCTTCCACATATGGAGCTCACCCTGAGCGCCTGGGGCCTGGGCCTAGTCGCTTAGCGCCCGCCGCCCACACTGGCTTCTGAGAGCCCCACCTTGGGCTCAGAAAGCCCTAAAGCACCACATACCTACACGTAAATATTTGGGGTGACCCACGCCGATTGGGATCCTAAGCAGGCTTCTGAGAGTCCAAACTGACCGTGAGTGGCCTGAAATGGCCTGGAAGTACGAAGCTTATCCTAAGGGATCCCTTGCCGCTATGCCGTGCGAAACTTTTGGTTCCGTTAAACATTTTTTAATTTTTGCTCGCGTTTGCAGCGCTTCCCTTCACACGAAAAACGAGAAACTTTTTGCTCACACTCGAGTGAACAAAACACTTCCCCTCACGGGAGCAAAGATGAATTACTTTCGATTCACACTTCCGAGTTCCGACATTCACTCTCCGCCGAATGCCCAACTTAGCTACAATCGGCGGCTGGGAACACGGTGCACTGGGGGTCCTCGATTCCACGCCCTGCTGGGGGGGGGGGCTGAACACCCCTCCCCCTTCTAGCTCGGCTCCTGGGCCACGTAGCGGTACGCGGAAGGCAGCGTTCGAAAAAGCGCCGAAAATAATGACGAAATCACTTCAGGCACTTTTTTTTGTCAGGCCAAAGGTCAGGTCACCAAAGGTTTGAAGGCAAAATTTCGCCGATTTTCAAGTCGAATATCGACAATTTCTAAGAAGCCAACGCATAACTCGGGAACCAATAGAGCTACCAGAAGAGCTACAGCGCCGCGGAAAAGCGCATTCGATAGCCCTATTAACGCCCTTCCCTTTCTGAGCAATTCTCTCAGATTTGACCTAACGTCAGCGATTTGCCTGCAGGGGTAAAAACTGCAAAATAACCGATTTTTGGGAGCAGTTTTTCTGTCATAGCTCTTGACCAAAGCCTTGCACGAGGTTACTTTTACTGGCATCGTGTTTCTCTCGTCAAGACGCATTAGGTAAATGAAATATAACTTGACCTTGAAAGGTAACTTGAAAATTTGACCTCAGGTCAAGGTCATGACTGACAAAATGGTCATGTTGCATATCAGTCGATTCGTATCGTCGAGCTGAACACAGCTAAGGTGTTTTCCTGGCACTTGCATGCCTCTATCAAAAGTTATTTGCGAAGAACTGTTAGATACCATTCGTGACCTGAGATGACCTCAGGGGCATAAACAGGGGTCACAGACATTATTTTCATGTTTAGTGTGCCTAAGTTACTTGTAATTCCGTGTTTGAGAGTGTTTATAATGACTTTCGTCCAAAAGCGGCGCATTTCAGTTTTCTCCCATTGACTTATAATGTGGGGAGGTCGCAAAATTGACCTTAGCTTAGGTCATCGATATCAAAATTCTGAGATATACATTTTGTACATACCATTGCTCTTAGCAATCACTGAAAGTTCCAAAGCGATCGGTCACTCGGTGTAGCTATGACAGACATTGAAACCTTTTATGAGGTGAGGTCACTTCAAGTAGCCTGGCAACTTTACCTTGAATGACCTTGGTCTGAAATTTTCACATATGTAGAATTGATGTATGATAAGGTGTGGCAAAAACGACGGCGCGTGAGATATTCGCGAAAAACCACAGGGGGTGTTCAAACACCCCCCAGCAGGGCGCGGGCTAAGCGTACTTTTCATACATCTTCTCACCCGTCCGTATTTCCACCTATAAATACGTATTTCCATCCTCAGGATACTGAAATTCTTCTCCACGCCGCAACCCCCCACTCCAAGCTGGACATGCAACTTTATCTCATGCGGGCTGCTCCTTTGGAGTGGCACTGCTCCCGAGGGAACGCACCCTGTAGCCGGGTGCAGAGAGTGCTTGGGGGGCTGGTCGGCCTGTCCATTCGGACGGGCTCAGCCCCAGTGACGCACTATGGTGCCTGCCCCGACCAATGTCTCCCCTTAATTCCTATAATCCTTCCGGCTCCAAAATGATCTCATTGGATCGAAAGGGTCCAACCCAACAAAACAAAGAAACAAAAACATCTTCTCCACGCGTGTGGTAAGAATTTACTTGCATTTTCAATATTCCAGACATTTTGCTTGTCTCTGGACTCTGGTCCACCAGCATCCTGAGCATCCGCACACGTAGCATGTTCTTTGGCATGGCGCACCGCTTCCTTTTCTGTTCTTGTCTTATTCTTATGTTATTCTTATTCTTATTCTTATTATCTGATCAGACCGGGCTGTTAGCACTGCCTCCATCTCACGATGCGCCCGTTTAAGCATTTGGCGCGAGCGCATTTCGCCTCCTTCCATTCCTCGCCGTGTTTAACCCTCGCCCGCACATGGGGGGGGGGGGTGGTTGCCACCCCCCCCCAGGTAGTCTTTCTGCTCTGCACTCAACATTTTTAGAGCTAGAAGGCTGATTTTTCGTATAGCTGCTCCTCTATCCTTTCTTGATGTCCACTGAAAATTTCAAGTTTCTGTGATTTTTGGTTTCGGAGATATGACCTTGTTTTTCAGGTCATGTCATGACCCAAATGGCCAATTCTCAACATCTTGCGTTTGCCATGGGCCTTATGAGCTTTTGACACCCTGATTTCGGCCTTTTTTGCCAGTCTTACCTCCTACCTATCATGGAACATGTTGTTTGACGATGTACAGGGGTCAAGGTCAGGGTCAAGGTCAACCTAGGTCACCTAAGATAATTGCGTTTTAGGCAAGCTGAATTTACTTTTTTTTGAAGTTTTTTGACTGCATTTTTGGTAAAAGCTTCTCAGATCATGATTTCATGTAATATGGACCCAAAAACAATCGGTGCACACATCAGTATACACACAGACACACACAGACATAAAAACACATATAATTGACCTTGACCTAACTTGACCTGAAATGACCTCAGCAGCAAAATTCTGGTCGGGTAGTGTGACAAAGAGGTTCTAGCTGGCTTGGCACCAGAAAACAGCATCGTCATCGGTATTTGATAAGCAGCACACTTGATATCCAACGGTGACCCAAAACAGCAACATTTTTTAGTTTGACCTGACCTGGAAGGTCAATGACTGACCTGAGAAGGTAAAACTGGGTATCATTGGATTCGTCTCTTCCCAAAGAATCTTTTTGGTCTTTACTGCTAAGCTCTATCTCCAACAGGAACGAAATGGCGCGGGGGGGGGGGGTGGCAACCCCCCCCCCCCATGTGCGTTCTAGGATGGGAAAATGGCATGTGCGGGCGAGGGTTAAAAGTTAGATACTTCTTCTCTTTGCTCATGAGACATTCATTCCTGTCGCAGACGATCCTCTGGCAGCAGTTGGGGTAAGGCGCCGCCGTGTCCTGGACAACTCGGCAGGTCGAGTCGGCTGATGGCTGATCAACGGGCTGGCATGTGGTCAGAAAAGTACAGCCCTTGGTGCACCGGGCGCCGACACAGCCCGGCTCCGTCCACTCGGCGCCGTCCTCCAACAGCTTGTCCAGCTCTTTGGAGTGACACTGTCCCGTCGTGCTATTAGGACACCTGCATGAGGAGCAGCATTTCGGATAGGTGGCGTTTGAAACACCCTCAACCGACACGCACCCCGAGCCGGGCCTTATCTGAGGACAATGTTTTCGGACGTACGGCCGGGTGCATTTCTCAAATATACACCCTGGTTCAGTCCATTCGTCTTCTTCCAAGAAAAGGTGTTTCAATGCATCGGAGTAGCACACCTGCATTGAACGATATATTCGGAAGACTCGCACTGGACAACACGCGGGAAACTCATCTCTATAAACTCCCTCAATGGAAGTCTGGGAGCGGTTGACAGATTCGCAGGTAGTGATGTTGATCTGGCCCAGGACACACCTGACCTGCTCGCAGCCCGACTTGGTCAAACCCGCTTTGTCTAGAGGACGTCTATACCGCTCGGTCCACAAGGCTCCGTCGGGGACATGCCCGTTGAACGCCTTCCAGTAGCAGGAGCCGTTCCCGGTGGCCGCGCACAGCTCGATGACCGCCCACAGTAGAGCGATGGCGCGCACCATGTTCAGAGCGATGAGCGCTGTCCGCCGCACTGGCGCCCGGCCCGGCCCGGCTGCAGCTATATAGCCGCTGCACCTGCGCTCCGCACTCCGCGCCGTCTGAGTCACACTCCGCCACCCGCCGCGCCGTCTGAGTCACACTCCGCCACCCGCCGCGCCGCGCCGCGTGCGGGCCAGTCCCCGAGGACGGGCCGCGGCGCGGGCCAAAGGTGCAGCTGACGGGAGACGACCGCAACATTTCATCAGCCTTCTGTCTATAGCTCATCGCCTGAATCCTGAAGGCGGTGCGCCATAGGCATAAACAGCCTGCTTTATGACGAGGCATCGAAGTCTGGAACACCATCACTGTGAAGCGCACACAAAGAAGAGCTGTGTTGAGAACGCTTTTGCGTGGAATGCGTGTGAACTGCTGGTTCTGTAGCAAGCGAAGATAATGGATACCTATATGCGTACACTTGCTAGAATTAGCATATCATATATTTTGGCTCATTAAGTGGTAAGTGGTAGGTATACATATGCGAGAGGGATATTATCCATGATCCGAGACTCGTTATCCGAAACTTGTCCAGCATAGGACTTCCCTAATCTGATCCCTGCACCTACCCGACCTACCCACTGGCGGTCCCAGGGGGGGGGCACGGGGGCCATGGCCCCCCCTTTGGTGCTGAAAGGTGGGGCCATACTATCTTTTGGCCCCACCTTTCAGATCGAACAAAAGTCCTAGAAAAGCTTTTCGTATGTTTCATTTTCTTTCTTGCGCCATCAAAGGACGTAAATTTCACTCATGAGGGCTCAGTTTCGCATTCTGTCAATTTGGTGGTCAGCGTCGCTGGCACCGGTTCACGAGTATGGCCGGATCTTATATGGAATATCAGCGTGGGTTTACTTGAGGCTCTCGTAGGCCCAGCAATGGCTGGCATGAGACCCTCTTCGGCAGTGGTGGGTGGGCCCTGCTAAAGGAGATTGGCTCTAAGACACTAAAGTAAGACCTCATGGGTTGGTGCTGTGCACCTCAGAAGCCCGGTGGTGACGCCGTATGCCGGCTTGGTTTCTTAAGGATTAGCGTGGGAACTCCGGGGCCTGCATAGAGTTTGCATGAGCTAATATGTAATCTCAGAGGCATGTGTGTAATGTGTACACAGTGGCGGTCGCGGGGGGGGGGGCATCAGGGCCATGCCCCCCCCCCCAAGGTCAATAAAGGGGGCCATCATATCATTTGCCCCCCCCCCCCCTCAAACAACCAATGGGCCCCCATGTAGGTGTATGGGGCCCTGGCAATTATTCGATCGTCACGAAGCTAAAAAAAAAAACCCACGCCCAGCTATCAATATAGCTCCCACACCGGTCTTTGAGCGTCCTACACTGACCTCTGAGGGAACTTCAGTGGCGGTCAAGTGCCCACGTTGACCGCTAAGAGCCTACATCAACCTCTGAGACCCCACATCTGGCCTATGAGGGCCCCTAACAGGCCTCAGGGGTCCCAACCGGCGTCTGAGGGTCTCACACCGGTCTCTGGTGGCCTTATTTCTGTCTGTGGTGTCCCAAGACGAACCTTAAGGTGCCAATGAGGGCCCCGCACTGGCTGCTGAAGACCCGATGCCGGCCTCTAAGGGCCTGCATTGGCATTTGAGGAGGGCCCATCTTGGCCTTTGAGGGCCCTCTGCTGGCCTCTGGGGTCCAACGACGGCTCATGCCGGTCTTTTAGGGCCCCACGCTGACCTCTGAGGGCCCATGTTGGCCTGTAATAACCCACATTAGCCTCTGAGAGCCCAACTCGGTCACTGATTGTCTCAAACTACTGGCCTTTGTAGTTTGCAGGCCCTGTACTGGTCTCTGAAGGCCCTAAACTGGCCTCTACGTGAAAACATATATGGGTGGGTTTCTGAAGATCAGAGGGCTCACGCAGTCTCCGGCACAGCCTTACGTTGGTCCTGATCGAGATTACTTTGCGTCCTGATGGTCCGGCGCAGATTCCCTCATATTTCGACGTCGGGACCCCATGAGCCGGTGTGGGTCCTGGGGCTGGCAGAGACTGATGAAGTCCTTAGGGCTCAGGGCCAGTCTTTTTAGCAGTAAGACTAGGCAGGTTGAGTGAGCCCCAATAGAGCCGCTGCGAAGCCCCGCAGGAGTCGCGCGCGGCCCTCAGATGCCAATTTTGAAAGCTCGGAACCTGTGGGGGGTCTCCAGAGGCCGGTCGGTGTACCTACTCTCTCCCGCCGCCACACAACTAGGTATGTTACCTATATGAGTAAATGTCATAGTCTGAAAATGCTCTCTGGGTTTCACATGCTTGTTCAAAGCAAGAGGTATCTGTACTTTTCCGAATTGTTTTATAGTGGTAAGGTCATGAATCCGCGTGCCTGACCTTCCAGTATACCTATGCTACACCGATCCGTCGTCATGGTGCAGTGGCCCGACCGGTGGAAGCACCGTGGGACGGGAAATGGAACTGGTGATTTTGCCTTAAATTGAGCTTAAAAATTTCACGCAAGAATCAGATGGATGAAGCATAAGTAATGCCAACTGCGCGGCACCTCGTGGACGTAAAAAATTAGCCGATCACCCCCCCCCCCCCTCCCGGTGACGGATAAATGTTATGTCCCGCGAGTGTGACTTTGGCCCCCCCTTTTGCTAGCGGCTGCGACCGCCAGTGGACCTACCCAAGTTACCTAGGTACTGCTGCCCTCGCACGGTCAGCATCGGTCCGAGGCAGCAGACGCGGTTATCTACCTGCCGAGCAGCGAGCGTATAGCACAGGCCGCAGAGCTGACTCCACCCATAACACCCAGAGCTGCGCTCCCGATAGTCAACCGTGGAATTTTGCAGTATATGCTGTAACACATTATAATCACTCAGATTTACTGGATGAGTCTCTTGTCGTTCTGTTCTTCAGTTTTTCCCCGGTTCCCGACTCCGAACACTCCCGATCTGCCCGTAGAAGTGGCGCCGCGAGAACGACTCTCTGCCGGAGCCGGAGCGGCAGCCGGAGCCGCAGCCGGCGCCGGCCGGAGGTCAGAGGTCAGACGCCGACCCGCCGGCCGGAGGTCAGAGGTCAGGGGGTCAGCCGCCGCCGGCCGGAGGTCAGAGGTCAGAGGGTCAGCCGCCGCCGGCGCCGGAGGCCCAGCTCACCGACAGCCGGACAGAGGACCAACAACAGGTTAGCCAACGACGTGCTGATGCAATGCACTGACGGCTGATGCAAGGGAGCACGTGTCGAATGGGCCACTGACGCGCGAGTCACCTGGGACGGTGGAAATAATATGCTGCCATATTTAACTTTGAACGTTTTTAAATATGAAATAATATTTTCGGAGTTTCTTGAGTGATATATATTGAAAAATTGATAGCAAATATTTCGATACTCGTAGTGGTACCTTTTTCAATGCGAGTGAGCACTCGCATTGAAAAAGGTACCACTACGAGTATCGAAATATTTGCTATCAATTTTTCAATATATATCACTCAAGAAACTCCGAAAATATTATTTCATATTCATTATAACTTGAGGAAAAGGTAACATGACTCTTAAGTCATACATTTGAACGTTTTGATATCCATGTGACAAATTAAAAATATTGATGCAATGATGAGTTTTTATAACTTGTTGATTAAATAATAGGTATAATTAATCTTAAAGTAAATCAAATGTTAAAAGGATTCATTTTTCGTCATTCGTGATTCACAGCCAGCATGGTGTGAATGTCGTGATGCGTCTGTCCGGTTTCAGGCGGACCTGGTTCCCTGCCGGCGCTGCGGCCGTACGTTCTTCCCCGACCGTGTACAGCTGCATGAGAAGAACTGTCAGCCCAAGGACGCAGACGCCGCGGCCCGGGAGGCGCCGGCGCAGGTACGGCACGAGCTGACACGGACACGCCAGCTATCGGCTGTTTATTTTGCACCCAAGGCTCTAAAGTATAAGCTATGTTCTTGGTATAAACTTGCCTTTTCACCTGTTTGATGCTTCATCGGGCTATGTAGGTAGTAGGTAAATACCTATGCAGAACTCGAAGAGCTAGGCAAGAGTCAGTCTTGCAAGAGTCTTGCACCCAAAACTCGAGCAGCGCAGCAATGTCGAACCGAACCCCTCCGCGTATCCACCGGGTGCGCCTAGTCCGCCCGGTTCCGTCGCCGGTGCGTCGGGGTCGCCTCCCGGGCGGCGCCGCGGCTCGGCCGGTGCCTCTGCACGTGGTGACGCTGTCGCCGCCGCGACAGGTGGCTCCTCCGTCCGTGTGCTACATCTGTAAGGCGCGGTTTCCACCGGACCAGCTGGCCGCTCACGAGGTGGAGTGTGTCAGCCGGTGGCGCGCGCAGAACGCCGTCACCGGCCAACAGATGGTGCCGCTGCCGGCTCTGGCGCTGCCACCGCAGCAGCAGCAGTCGGAACAGCAACCGGAACAGCAACAAGAACAGCAGCCAGAACAGCAACCAGAACAGCCGCCGCCGACAGAAGGAGCGACAACGGTGGCAATGCCCAGTGGTGAGAGTCAGAGAGCAAACACTTCGAATTGTTTTGTAATTGATTTTTGTTCATAGATCATTTATGTTTTGCTGATCCACCATTGAGCTTGCGTGAGATCACCATACGACATGCGAAAGTAAAAAACGATGGCCCAGTGTCGACGTGGGAAAACATGGGAAACCCATCATTGCTTGACCTAGCGCCTATACGCGAGTGTTCACTGTCGCATGTAACTGAGGGGCCAACTAAGCAGATTAAACACAATTTCCCCTGATAAATGACTCTAAATTGATGAGGAGCAAGGGCCAGAGCGATGCTGCACCTGTAGACGAAGTTTCGACGAGGCAGCGTGACTATAGCCGCCTATCAGTCACAATGGTGCGCAGATCCATGCCAACTAGCAAAGGTTAGGTCCCGAGCCATTTGGCCCAAACGGTCTATTGATCCGTGTGACCCATATATCATGCAAGGTCGATGGGAATGCCTTGCATTGATCGGTGGCCATTGTTGGGCTCCAGAAATGTCGCGTCACTCCAAAATGGCTCCACTGTCCGATAGGAATGCTTATTCAGACCCGGACGACCGTTTTCATACAACATGAAAGTGCACGAATGTCGTTAAGAACGTCACAATTATATAAAGGCATTGCAGCGACCTATACGAGCTGCAAAACGAAGCGAAGCTTTAATAACTTTTTCATGGATTATCATTATATAGTCGGTACGTATACCATTGTCATGCTTGAACTATCCATCCAAGGGCATGCCTATTCCATCTCATGGTGGTAGTTCCGAGTAATGGCGTTGACTCATTGACTGACGTGTGACTGATATCACCGTGTAACATGTGACCATATAACTGATGAGACGCGTCACGTGTTGGCAGGAGCTGCACCGACCGCGGCGGTGGCGGTGGCCCCCTCGGCGCCCGCTGCCGGCCCGGTCGAGCAGCTCGAGGGCCAGCTGGACGCTCTCATCGACGCCGCCTGGCAGAGCCACCTCTCCGAGCTGGTGCCGTGCCCCAACTGCGCGCGCACCTTCTTCCCCGACCGGCTGGAGAAGCACACCAAAAACTGCAAGGTCGACCCCAAACAGAAGTGACCCCCGACCGGGTGGGCTCGGCTGAATCGCCAACCGAGTGATGCAAGTGAGAGGATCTGACCAAGCGGCCTAGGACGGCTGCACGCGCACTGCACAGTTGCCGGATATCTTACGCTATGGGCCATTGCGGAGCTATATGGTGACTATGTTGCCAAAAGATGTCTGGTAATGATGTCGAATTTGAGGATGAATTTGACAGCGCTTATGCTACTTGCATGGGCCGCTGATTTAGTACTAATTTCAAATAGTTTTAGTTGGATTGACGGTTTATTTCAGCAAACCATTTCTTTTACCTGACAAGCAGGCGATCTTATCAATCTCTTTTTCGGTTGCTCCTTTAGTTTCTGCTTATGCAATAGGTACGAGGTTAATGGTGCAATTCATGTCTGTAAACTTATTGACTTTAAATCAAGAAGGCGATGCAATCCATTCATGTTGCCAACAAACCATGCCTTATATTAACACTGAAGTTAATAACACTCCAGTGATTTGTGTAGAAGTGTAGACGTCTACCTAGTTGGCAGCATTGCTGATATCGTGGCGTTTTGCGAGAGATGTGATACCGCGAGGCATGATAGGTAATACGGTGGTACCTGAATCACTAATTAGGTTTGCGGTGTCAGAACGTGGACGATGTCCGGATTTATTTCTGTGTCGTTTCTGTCACAAGGTAATCGTCGCATATAATCATGCAATACACACGGGAACATGGAACATATTGTTGTTTGAGGCAGGCAACTGATGACAATTATGTGTACGTAGAGCTTGTGCGATTCGAGAGCGACTCATTCGTGCAAACAATTAAGTGACAAGAAACGTCACATTCATTTTGCTTCTGTACCATCTGCGAACACGGGGGCGGCGTCATCCATCATGGCGTCCTCCCCTCCGTCATCGCTCTGACCCGAGTCCATGTGACTCGTATCGCCGTCGTCGTCGTCGTCGTCATCGTCGTCATCATCGTCATCATCATCGTCTTGGTCGTCGTAGGCGGCGCGTCTGTCGGCGGCGCTGAGGTCCCGCTCCTCCCTCTCCACCTGACGCTCCATGTCGGGCACGGGGTCCTCCTCCAGCTCAGTGGTGGCCGCCGGCTGCTCGGCCGCCTCACGCTGCCAGCGGTGCGGCTGCGGCTCCGGGCCGGGGCCCAGCTCAGCCCGCCGCCACAGAGCCAGAGCGTCCTCCCGCACCCGCGGGTCGGCGACGGCGCGCCGCCGCTGACGAGCCGACCGCCCGTCCAGCCGCTCGATCAGCACCGGGTGGCCGCCGTCCATGGCCAGCCGCAGCCGAGCCTGCTCCGAGCGGCGTCTGCGGGCTGCCGGCGTCTGAGGTGCCGCTGCCGGTGCCGCCGGCGGCTGCCCGGCCGCTGGTGCCGCTGCTGGTGCCGCACCTGACGATGCCGCTGGTGGTGCCGCTGGTGGTGCCGCTGGTGGTGCCCCCGGTGGTGCGCCTGGTGCCGCTGGTGGTGCCCCTGGTGGTGCTCCTGGTGCCGGCGGCGGAGGCTGGCCCGGCGATGGCGCGCCTGGCGGGGCCGGCGGCTGTGCGCCCGGCGGCGGCGGTGCCGGGGGCGGCTGGCCGGCCGGAGGAGCAGCTGGCGGCGCGGCCGGCATCCCCGGCGCCGGCGGCTGGTCACCGGGCAGCGGGAACGGCAGCGCCCGTGTCTCCATCGGAGGCGGCGGCTGCCACCCTGGAGCGGGATAGTACGGCGACTGGGGCGGACCAGGGACCGGCGCCGCCTGTGGTGACCAGGCGCCGGCAGCTGCAGGGCCCATCTCAGCTGAGGCGTCTCTGAGCGAGCGCTGGAGTGATGAATAATGCTCTTCAGGGAGCAACGTATCTTGGTGGTAGCTCTGTAGGTAGTTTGGGATATCAGCTACCCATTCCGCTTTCACATCTCGTCTCCTAACACCTGTTTTAGCTTCACGCTTGCGTCTGCCCTGACTTGGTCCTCCGACCTCCTTCTTGGACCGGCCGTGGCGCCGCTTCCTGCGCTGGTCGTCCTCCTCTTCCACGATAATTGTGTTCTGTCCCAGCTTCTTCAGTTCCATCATTGCCGGACCCAGAATGGCCAGCGTCTTGTCAACACTGCTCTCCACGTTATCGAGTCGAGCCGATATCTCTCGCTTGCGAGATATGACTCTCTCCAAAACCATATTCAGTTTTGATTCCAGTCGTTTGACTTGGCTGACAAGGTCGCTGACCCCAGAGTTGATGGACGTTACTTGTGTTACTACTTCTTTAGGCATTGTTTGAACTACTGTCTGAATGGGCACGGGCTGTGGTACCGCCTTGTCTATGGTCTTGATCGTTTCTATGGTTTCCACACCATCTAAAACAACACAGACACTGATCAATCCTATCTTATTTTCATTTGTGGTGGGTCAAGTGGGCAGGCACAGTAGGAAAATAAAAAGAAAATGGGAAACAAACGTTGCTAAGTGAAATGACTCACAAGCCAACGCTGCTAAAAAGCACCAAAATCGTTTTCTTAGGCCGCCCGTTCAGCGGCGGATGGCTGGAGTGTCAGCTGTTCCGCACGGCATCCGTGTATTGCGGTACAGCCTATCTGTCCAGTGTCCAGCAGCGTTAGCCTGTCGGGCGAGAACTGCGACAACATCGGCCCTTCCCCGCAGAGCTCTCTGTGAAGACAGAGCTCTTTGTCTGTGCTATTTGAAAGCGTTTTTAAAGTACTCATAAGACAGATAACTTGGGTGGATGCCAAATAACTATCATTTGGCGTTTCTTTTGTCTTAGGTTTCTACGTTGAATGTTTTTTCTCTGAACCATTACGTGCATAAATAATGTATTAACGAGGGGAAAATGCATTGTTACCAGTAAGCTGGAATTTCACTAATTCAAATTCGTCTAAAAGGCTCACTGGACTTTAACTTAGGCTCTCTCTTGGGACCAAACATAGGGTCGCATTCTACATCTATGTAATAAAAGCAATATCTCATTTTTGCGTGCACCGTTTAAAAAAGTTGCTTTTTGAAGCTTTTCTTTCAAGAAAAGCGCGATCATTGATCAATGAGCATATTCATCTACTTTCTAAACATTTTTTAGTTCAAACACGGTCCCCTTTTGTAACATTTTTATATCAATATGTTACAAATCCGGAGAAAATCATGGTGCAGCGAAAAATGACACCATATTCAGCAGAACAATTGATATCGGCTTCACACTTAAGACGCTTCGATCGGCTTCACGCCTATAGAACTGCTACGATGATGCATTAATGCAATATGCCAATACAATCAATCGGTATAATACATACCAGTATAACGCCTTTTGGGGCGACTAACGGAGCGAGCGAGAGGGTGGGCCTTGCACGTGCGAAATTGCGAAGGGGTACCTCCAACTGACTTGTGCAAAGGCCACCGTTACACGAACAGTTACGTGTATTTAATTGCATGTTTTGCAATAAAAACATATGGGGAAATATTTACATCTTAGCGTATGACAAAAGCATGGCAAGGCAGCCAGCCTCCAGGCATGAATCCAATCGTAGGGCAAAGCCTGTATCTGCCTATACTTGAAAGGGATACGATTCAACAACGATGAATGACATGAACAAACACAGCTATCACGCCAAACACATCACTTATCATCATCGTCGTCGTCGTCGTCATCGTCATCGTCATCATCATCGTCATCGTCATCGTCATCATCATCGTCGTCGTCAATGTCGTCGTCATCGTCGTCATCGTCAATGATGATGTCAGTCTCTCTGCCGTGCTTCGCCTCGCGCTTTTTTCTTCGGCCAGCTCCTCCTTGCACTGAGCCAAGTAATCGTAAAATGTTCATTATGCCTACTTCAAATCTCTTCAACTCTGATGCTATTTCTCTTTTTCTTTGAACGACCTTGGCCATGACAGCATTCAAAGCATCTTCTATTCTTCTTGTCAGCTTGACCAGGTCTGGTCCGGTGACGTCTACCTTTTCGACCTCTATCTTCTCTACAGCCGAGGCCTGGGGCGGCGGTGCGGGAATCGTCTCCACAATCTTCTCCTCTTTGGTCACTACCTCCTCTGAAGAACCATCGCTTTCGTCGTCCACCGAAATCACGTCGACCTCACCTGCAAGACAAGCGAAATCTCTCACATCCCTCCGTGACATTTTCGGGAAGAAACTGAAAATGAATCGGTGGGATGTGGAGCTTTCCCTTGGCTTGCAGGGAAGCTGTTCCATGGTACTCGCAATTTTATCCGCACCGTTCATTATCAGTATTTTCTCGCTAACACACGAAATGACTCAAGAGAACAAAAAGCATAGGCAAATTTAATTAAATAGTGGTATATACCTAAACAAATGCACATGATTTATGGACAAAATAAGATTTGAGGGAGCTATTTATGCATCTGTGCAGAGACATTCAGAGGTAATCTACATGGAAAGTATACACAACGAAATCGTCAATTGCCGCTTCCCTATCTGCCATCGTTTCTTCACTTATTAGTCAAAGTTCTTAAGTGTGTACCAGTGGGCAGTGTTGTGTTGGTGATAATTAGTGACCTGATCCATTGATAAAAGCAAATAGATCAGACCCAAGGCGTCAGACCGACCAGTGCTGATCACATCTCAACGTGACAATGTGACGGTAAAAGTAAGACATCGGATCTCACACATGCAAGGAATGAATCCAGCTCCGATGAAATTATCTTGAATTGTAGATTTTTATTTCAGTTTGATTTGTATTCTATTCAATGAAAGCCAATATTCTTAAACAGGTGTTGTGATCTTTACATAGATCTGGTTTAGTAATCCATTTCCTTTCCCTTCACAATGCTTACTTTAAAGAATACGTGCAACTAACAATTTCCCAGCGTTGCCCTCAATATCAATAGGTATGTGAAAGGCGAACGTTGCTATCATCTTTTGGATTTACCTACGGTTAGTCATTGTATCAAGTATCTGACAGATTGTTATATGGAAGATATGTACCATTCAATCACATGGAGTGATCCTACGCATTCGTATTGTCAGATTAAAAATGTTTTTAACTTAGGCTGATGGGAAAGTTGGTTTGATATCAGTTCTTACCTCCAGATGAAAGTGGTATTGTCAGACACACCAAAGACATCACCCAGAACAACTTCATTCTTGCAGCAACAAGTAAGAGAGCTCACCAGGTTGTTCAAAATAAACTTTCTAAGACATTGCATTTATATGGTTATTTACGTGCAGTTATCAACGAGCAATGATTACATAGGGTATGCCAGCATATTTCACATAACTGACAATCCAACCCTTAAAATTACATCTAATGCAGGTATAGGTCTGGCATATGAAATTGCATTGCCTCAGCTGTCTGAAAATAACAAAAAGCAAGGACAAAAAGTGATAATCCATGGATTTTATAAATTGAAAGATTCTCGTGCCAAGAGCACGAGACGTCATCTCATTTTATGAACTCCGATGGCTCCGATGTTTATTCGAGTCAATAATGCGAGCACTGCAGCACAGTAAAAGCATTACAAAATAAGTAGCACATCAAATGTATTTAATATTTATGCATTACAAAGTAAGCACTCTCCCTTATATCGTTTGGATGTCAATTCTATCACAATGTAATGTTTAACCATTTGTTGTTATCAACCTCAATAGCTTTCTGCATTTTCGTCATCTCGCTGCATTGTGGCGCTAGTGCACAAGACTACGACAACGACGCGTAAGTACCTGCATAAGTACATAGTGCATATGCCGTTTACCACCGTCAGGTTTTCATTTGACTAAATAGCAATTACTTTATTCTAAAGGCTTATATTGATCGGGGTTTCGTATAACGACCCAACAAATGACATGTTTGAGATGATGAAAATCTACCTTCGACATTGAGTTCATTAAAATGATTAGGCAAGACAAGGACTAAGGGATAATACGGACATTCCGAGTAAAGCTATTATTCAATGACACGTCAGTCACATAAGGTGATAAAAAGGGAAACATGTGTTGCAGATATCCAGACGAAGATAACAGAATCGGTGATAGCGCTTCAATAAGTGAAGCGGAAAGAAGCCATCGAGACGAGAAGCGTGAAGACGACTCCCAGGTTGGTAGTTGATCCATCTTTTGATAAAAATCAGCCTGTCACAAGCAATATCATCTGCCATCTATTCTGCAAGGCACCTGAAAAGTATTTTAAGTTGGCATTTTCAAAACTTAATTGTGTCTTGCTTGACTGTTCGTCTGGTTCGATCCCTCTTGAATGCTGAGTCTGAAATCTGCCTTGAAATATCTCAAGTTAGCTTGGCAGTGCAGCAAATTCAAATGATTACATGTCCATAAAAAGTTTTAATAAGCTCAATTACTCAATGTAGAATTCGAAATATTGGTAGAGTTCCGCACACAAAAATATGGAACTAAAAATGTGGATAGCGTATGCATAGCCAGATAAGTCGTTTTAGAGCAAGTGACAATATTCCGTTTAGAAAATGAGAGTCACGTCTAAATAGTACAAGAACTTCAAAGAGTGTGGTGAAAGAGAATGACAGAGCTCAGCATGACGAGTGCGGGTTAAATTGGTCAGATATTCTTTCACACATGCGTCACCTACCCGATGTTAACGTTTGATGTACAATTACGAACTCTCTGACGTTTGCAGCCTTTGGGAATGAAAACATCGACAGTCATAGAAATCAGCGCAGACGATGCGAAATCAACGAAAAAAGAAAACGAGGAAGAAGCAACAGTATCTCACACACCCAATACAAAATTACAGGCTCCCATAACAGTAAAGAAAACGCCAAAGGTAATTACAAAGGGAAAGGGCAAAGAGAAAACCGTTCTGTCCCAGAAACTTCCACAAAAACCGTCACGTGTTGTTGTAGATGTGAAAGAAAAGAAGGACAAGAATGATCCAAAAGGGAAGAAGAAATGGGAGACTGACCTGGTTGTAGAAGGGAAAGCGAAGAAGGTAGAAGATGAAGATGACACAGAGGTGATAAGCGACTCAGGTACTCCTCCAGAGGAAGAGGTAATCGACGTGCAGTCTAGTGGCACTAAGACGGAGGAAATCATCGATGTCGAAGGAGGAAAGGAGGAAGTGATCGAAGTAGAACCGGTGACTGAATCATCAGAGGAAGTGATAGAGGTTGTTAAACCGCCCAAACCACCCGAGCCAAAGGTCATCGAGGTCATAGAGCCACCAGGGCCAAGGAGTAAGGGCGACAAGGTGGTCGAAGTCATTGAGCCTTCAGGTGCTGAGGAGATTGTCGAGGTGGCAACCACGCCCCCAGAGACGCCTGAGGTCATCGAGATTGAATCAGCCAAAAACAAGAACGGAGACGTCGTTATAGAAGAGATAGTGCCAAATCCCGAGGACATTGACATCGAAAACATGGGCAAAAATAATAAAGTTACCACAGCCATCAAAGAGGGTCGGCATGAGATTTTGGAGGACATTAAAGAGGGCCTGACTCCCGATTTACTCCACTGGGCCGAAGAGGCCATCGCAGCGGGCATCGAAAATGTTGTAAATGCTGTAGAAGACAAATACATTGCCTACATGAAGTCAAGGACCAGGAGGAAGCGTGAAGCTGCATCTTCTAAAAGTGACGATGGCGATGACGACGATGAAATTATAAAGACTAGTAGCAAGACACTGCACGCCGCTATGAAAAAGGTACAAAAGGCTGCGGCCGTCCTTGCTTCAAGCGAGGCGAGAAACGCAGCAAAAGCCGCCTCCACAGCCGCCAAACTGAACATGGACGTGACCAGCCAGGCGGCCAGCAACGCCATGAAGTCGGTGGCCTCCGCGATCGGCGCCGCGTCCCAGAACGCCGCCAAGCAGATCGTGGATGCCGAGAACCAGGCGGCGGCCGCGGCACTGGCCGGCGCCGCGCCGGTGATCGTGGCCGGCGCCCAGCAGAGCAGTCCCGTCATCGTCACCGACTCGGCGGCGGCGCCCGCTGCTGTCGAGGAGGCGGTAATCGAGGCGGCCGCCCGTCCGCCGCCGGTCATCGTCACAGAGAACTCGCCGGGCACGGCGGCGGCCGTCGAGCAGGCGGCGGCGACGGCGGCGGCGGCGGCGACGGCGGCGGCGGCGGCGAGCGGCAGCGGCCGCGACCTGATCCAGCAGACCCTGCAGATTCAGAAGGGACTGAACCTGGTGATGCGCGCAGTGCTGAAGGAGAAGGAGCGGGTGGCCGCCGATCTGGCGCGCTACCAGAACAAGATCAGCTTCCTGCTGCGGGAGATGACCGGAGCGGCGGCGGCCGAGGCGGGCGCCGCGGGTCGGCGGCGGCGACGGGAGGTGCGCCGGCAGCGGCGCGCGCTGCTCACCACCGAGCACCTCCACCAGCTGCTGCAGCGCGAGCAGCACCGCGTCAACCAGATGCTGCACCTGCTCGATGTCGGCATCAGCACTGAGAAGAGGAAGCGGGCGGCGCCCGAGGCCGGCGCGTGCCGCAGCCTGGCCAAGAAACGCTCCGGCGGCAGCAGGGAGAGCCAATGTGTCGAGGTCGGCTGACGGATCATTTCGGAATCACGAGTGTTTTGAAAAAATGCAGTGTGTTGCTTTCGTGTCAACTGTAGCATGATGTGTTGAATAAATATGCCTATATCGCATGCCTAGATCCCAAGCAAGGACCTTGCTGCTTTATTAAGAGTCGCGCGTCCTGATAACTTGTTTCCATTATGGAGCTCCAAATTTTTCATACAAAAATTTCTTATCTATTGTAACGACAAAACTCAAATTTCCATCCATTTGGTAAGTCCCCACAAACACGTATTTTAGAACCTTTAGAGGTACCGACTCATTTAATTTTGGTGGCCGGTCGACATTCCTCGCCAATCGCCATACATTCAGCCCTCAGGAACGGCCAGTCAACCCGGGTGCTGGCGCGATCATTCACTATGCAGTATGCACGTCTATTTCACCTGTCATTAGCGACGGCCCAGTGCCGAGCGGCCAATAGCATGTCTCTGGGACCGTAACGATGTGGTGCGGTACCCGGCTAGGAAAACAGCCACCATCGACCGGTGGCGTCGAGCCTCACACGATGCCCGGTCATTGACACCCCGACAGAGGGTCAGTAGCGGTCGGTGGGCCGGACTGGCTACCGTGCGCGGGCCGCCGCACGCAGTCAGACCGGGTGATAGGTAACGCGTGTTTGTATATATCGCGCTATATGAGCATGGTTGGTAAATATCATGTACCTAACGATACACGGTGCAGGGGAGAGTGGGGCAAAGCGGCCACCCTAACGCTTCTCACGATGCCAACGCTTGATTTTTAAACTTGGTAAGATTCTTTCTATACCAATGTGATCCCTATTAAGTTGCCTTTATTTCAACTGCGTTTTATTTCCAAAGGCGTTCACATATGAAAGATATTGACAAAACTTTAAACCTATGCATATTGGCCACTTTGCCCCATACCCTGGGGCAAAGCGGCCACCGGCGTCTTCTCAAGTCCCGATATGAGAAACAAAATAGTTGCCTCGTGTACGACTAGGGTATTTGATGGTGACAAGGTTAAGCGAGGATGGATGTTTACTTTATCATCTTCAAAGAAAGGATTTTCATGAAAATAAACATTTAATTGCATTATTTGGTAACTCATGCAACTGAAAAGTGGCCAAGATGAATGTATGACGACACATTTGAAGATAAATAATGTTTTTTATCCAGATGGAAGCAACTTATGGCCAATTGGGGGGTGGCCACTTTGCCCCGGCCACTTTGCCCCGCGCATACCGTCCGAGACAAAAATATTCCAGCTTAGCTATTAGTGGGGTAAAAGACATTAAAATTGGTAGAATACATGTACGATAACCATGCAATGCATGGACAAGAACGCTTATAAAAATTCCAAACGGTTATGGAATAACATAACATTTAAAAATTGTAAACATAGTTGGTAACCTGGCAAGAAATGCTTTTCCGTGTTTCACAGAACAATGGTGATGGGCCTGAAACCCCGGTCTGGCTCATTCGAACGACCGTGAAGAGAAGCATAATTGGAAACCATAAATTTGAACTGACGCCAGCTATGAAGGGCTAAAACGATGGGTGGCCGCTTTGCCCCGGGTGGCCGCTTTGCCCCACTCTCCCCCACTCATATAGGGTGGACCAAAAAGGATGGAAACATTTTGAACTCGCATAAAACATGCATTATTGCGTGCATGTGACTGGAAATGGTGCCAAACGAGAGTACATTTCGTGGAAATTCATAACGGCATCACTCTCTTCTGCTTTCTCTCGTTTTCAGTCTCTCAGAGCAAATGTTCGAAGAGACCGCCTTCGCGAGACAGGCACAGAGCGGCCGGTCTGGTGGCTGACGCGATAGCCCGACGACACATGTTCGCTGGTATGGCTCACACAGTCTTGGTGATCGCTCTCTTCAGGTCACAGAGACCTTCCTTGTTGACCTGGCCCTTGAGATGAGATGATAAAGAAGTCACTGCACAGCAGGAAGGTCACCGAAATGGTGTGCCCTCAGCGGAAAAGGAATTGTGGGTCCACTTTGGTTCGAGGAAGGGAGCGGCGACACCGTGACCGTCAATCAACAGCGCATACCAGGCGGCGCTGAGGAAGTTCTGAGAGCGAGTCCAAATGAAGCATGGCAGCCTCATCATAGACCTTATGTGGTTCCAGCAAGACGGTGCGCCTCCTCACATCGCAAAAACAACGCTCAAGTGCATCGAAAACCACTTCGGTGACTGGCTGATATCCCGCGGTGCCAGTCGGAACTGGCCTACCTGCTCATCCGACCTGACCCCTATGGATGTTTTACTGTGGGGTCATCTAAAGGGCCAGGTCTACAATGAAGGTCCAAAAAGCCTCTGAACTGAAGAGAGCGATCAGCAAGGCTGTGTGAACCATACAAGCGGGCTATCGTGTCAGCAGCCAAACCAGCCACTCTGTGCCTGTCTCGCGAAGGTGGTCACTTCGAACATCTGCTGTGAGAGACTGAAAACGAAAGAAAGCATGTGAGAGTGATGCCGTTATGAATTTCCACGAAATGTACTCTTGTTTGGTATCATTCCCAGTCACATGCATGCAATGATACATGTTTTATACGAGTTTAAAATGTTTCCATCCTTTTTGGTCCACCCATAGCTATACGGTGAAGAGCGCGCGGGTGATGGAGAACATGTCAACTCTGTCCAGACAAATAGGTAACGACGAACAACGGCACAGTGTATGCTGTATGTCCCACATAAACGCTGTGTGTGTGGGGGGGGGGGGGGAGGTTGGTGTGTTGAGGTGCCGGGTTCCAGGAACGCTTATCAGCAGCGCCCGACAGCCCCTCCTGCCTGACGTAATGCTTATACAAGGTGGGGTCAATGCCGGCGCGTCAGCCCCGGGCGCTAGGTTACCCCGAGGTCGTTCCAGGAATCGGTTCGCTCGGTAGCGGTGGCCAATGGCCAAAGACCCGCCCCGGTTCGGGCTTGGGGTACGGCTCAGTTGGGGATGAGGTGGGGTGGGACATTACTGTCCAGTCCGCGTTCATCCTTCACTGTAGACAACCGCGCATCAGTGTGGTGATTGGCCAGAATTTGAGTGATAGGAAGGGCCCTGACAGCTTGTCCGAGAAAAAAATCAGTAGCATTGGGTGTAAGAAGGTGTTATTTTGTCAGCCACTCAGATGCCTGCATTCGATATTACAACATATGGTTATAACTTAGCATTCGATTCCTCGTCGAATAAATGCCATCAATACAGAACATCTTTGATCACTGTCCCATTGCCTATGCTTTACAGCACTGCTTTAGACGTCACGCGACATCCATTCCTGGAAAGCGAGCTAGGCGGCACAGCCTAACTAGTTTCATGCGCCGGGCTCTAGGATGCGGAATTGAGAGCTCGGCGGCACAGCATACTACTGCAGGCGTTTATCACTAGCGACATCTAGGGACGAACTGCGTAAGCTAGTACGGTATCGTGTAAACTCACCGATGCCGTAATAGTACAAACAAGGAATCAAGGAATCGATAGAGCTGTGAGTTTGAAAAGAATGTTTGCGATTTTATACAAGCAAAAGCGGGAGTCTAGCCATTCAGGAAGAAATGTAAATTCCGCTATTCTGCTACCGATTTGGGCAGCTAATGAGAATACGGATATGAGGTAGGTATTAGCTTTGAGTGCGACCTATACAGTGCGCCCTTTATGGTTTGTACTGTATTATGACGAGTGACGACTGAGAATCGAATTGGCTGACAATCTTTCAGTCCTAACGGAAAATCCCAATTCGTATTCCCATCACAACCCCTCAGACCAATTTTAAACGAAAAATAAAATTTGTGGCTGTCATTTTTTTTTTTGTTGGTCCATCTTTCGTGTAATGTCCATTCCGTGCGCCCGGACTAATGGTATTTAACCTTTTTGTTATCATTGGGCATTGAGCGTCATCGAGCCTGGTTTTTCGCCCTTTCAGTGCATGAAAAACTCGACACTGCAGCAAAACTGGGTCGCCGCATTTCGTTACTAGTCTCCGATCGTCACATTCTGTTGGCGGTATGTCAAGGCATCCCATTATTCGACGGACCTTCTGACCATGACCCACAACAGCGTTCGGGGAAGGGCAACGATGCCATTGCAGGGATGTCCATAAAGTTAGCGTCGTATTCGTATTCGGATTCAAATTCGAGTAATGATTTCGCTCAAAATTGGCATACAGATAGCCCATGGCACGCTGAGTTCGAAAATGGTGACCTTTTTTTCCTAGGTCAAACCGTTTGACCTTGAGAGGTCAAAATACTGCGTACCCTGTAGAATCTTTGTTTATGGTCCGATTTGAAAAATTCGACCACCAGTGTGTTCGTCTCATCGAGAAGCAGTAGCACATTAAAAAAATCCGAGGTCAAGGTCATAGGTCAAGGTCAAGGTCACTTTAAAAATCGCCGTACCCTATAAAATTTTCATTTTTGGAGCTATCGGAAAATTTCGGCCACCACTGTGTTCGTCTCATCGAGAAGCAGTAGCACATTCGAAAAAATCCGAGGTCAAGGTCATAGGTCAAGGTCAAGGTCACTTTAAACGTTAATTTTAGTCCCCGTACCCTGTAGAATCTTTGTTTATGGTCCGATTTAAAAATTTCGGCCACCACTGTGTTCGTCTCATCGAGAAGCAGTAGCACATTCGAAAAAATCCGAGGTCAAGGTCATAGGTCAAGGTCAAGGTCACTTTAAACGTTAATTTTAGTCCCCGTACCCTGTAGAATCTTTGTTTATGGTCCGATTTGAAAATTTCGGCCACCACTGTGTTCGTCTCATCGAGAAGCAGTAGCACATTCGAAAAAATCCGAGGTCAAGGTCATAGGTCAAGGTCAAGGTCACTTTAAACGTTAATTTTAGTCCCCGTACCCTGTAGAATCTTTGTTTATGGTCCGATTTGAAAATTTCCGCCACCACTGTGTTCGTTTCATCGAGAAGCAGTAGCACATTCGAAAAAATCCGAGGTCAAGGTCATAGGTCAAGGTCAAGGTCACTTTAAACGTTAATTTTAGTCCCCGTACCCTGTAGAATCTTTGTTTATGGTCCGATTTGAAAATTTCGGCCACCACTGTGTTCGTCTCATCGAGAAGCAGTAGCACATTCGAAAAAATCCGAGGTCAAGGTCATAGGTAAAGGTCAAG